TAGAATAGGACTTCTAATCTATATGGCCCCACTCTTTTTGAAGCAAGCCTGTGAATGGGCCGAAGTGCTTTATCGGTCATATCTGTTAGTGCTCACTATGCAACTTGTTCCACAGAATCATTCGAATTGATAAATGCCTGAGGATGACCTCATGTTTGGTTAAGTGTCTTCATCTCTCGGGTCGAACAACAGTTGGATACTAAAGAGCAGGCTCAGATGTCCTTAGTGGAGTGTTCAACTTACGGTTTCACATAAACGTTGTCACAAAATTTCACTTGGTGTGTTTCCTTCAAATTGCAGAGTTGGAAACAAAGGTTTCTTCTATAATTTCGTCAGTCCATGTTTAGAGGTATTGTGAGGTATATATGCCACTAAAATGTTTTCAAGATATACGTTCTCTCGTAATATATTCTGAAGGATTTTTAATTATTTCTCGCTTGACACACTATTCAGAGCAGGTTGATCTTCCACTCAAAGACAAACATCTAAACATCTTTCGTAACGACTTCTTTGATACAGAGCTGTAAAAGTATGTAAATGTTTTTTTGTTGGTCGTTTAGTCCTCAGCCATCTCCTTTGTTTGTCAGCAAAACATCAAGGAAATGAAGAGAGTTATTAGTTTCACGTTGATACGCAAAATGAACTGCTGGATAGGTGGTGTTGAAGTGTTTGAAGATATAAATCCTAGACATGTATTCACCATTGACTGAAGATGTATCATTTTTGCATTGAGAACACGAGTCTTTTTTCTCATTATGCTAGTTAATTAGGTCAACAAGGTGGGGCCTGATGGCGATTCCATCGCTACACCATCGAATCATCGGTGCAGTTTGCTATTGACCAATAACTGAACACACTTGACCACCAACTCCCTGAAATTCTGAATATACATGCCTGCATTTATTTTCCATCCTACCATTCGGGTTTGGTTAGCGACAATTTCAGCTTTGTTACACCGCTAAAGCGCTTTTCATCCTCATCACATGAACGATGCTTAAATGCAGATCTTCAAGTCACCTGTTTACGCTTACTACGCGTTACCCATATGGTATATGAAGCGTGCATCTCAACGCTAATGGGAAAAACGAATTAAAAATATGTCTTGTCAATGGCCACAATCATACATGTTGCAAATCATAAAATGCCAACTTGTTATTTCAACATTTTAGTTGACCATTATCTGGACAGTATATTTATCAGTATCCCCATGATATTCCTGATTGTGGTTGACTGGATCATGCAGCAAACAGTGGGGAGCGAGGAGAGGGGGATACGCTGGACCGGGTAAAAGATCCTAGAAGACTTGGATTTCGCCGATGACTTGTGCCAGATGTCACATAAACTTGAAGATCTACAGGCAAAAGCTAACAAGTTGACAGAAGAGGCAGTGGGGTGAAGACTGGACTTTAAGTGAATATAGAGAAGACAGAGGTGATGAAGATACCCAACCAACAACAAGAACAGGCTCGAATCACCATCAATTACAGAAACTTTAAGGAAGTAACATCCTTCACCTATTTAGGCAGCACTGTCTCAACTACAGGTGACAGCAGAGACGAGGACATCAAAGTCAGGATCAAAAAAGCAAGATAGGCCTTCATTATCCTGAAACCAGTGTGGAGATCTCCTGCACTCCACTCAGCATGTGGAACAACATACAGATTTTCAACACCAACGTCAAGTCAGTGCTTCTATATGTTTGAGAGACTTGGAGTTATACGAAAGGGATTTCCAACAAACTACAGACATTCATCAACAACTACCTACGCTGGCTCATTACTGAAGCTCAGATTGCCAGAATATTAAGAATAGGCAACAACGAACTCTGGCTAGCTGGCTGGCTGGTGACGAACCAACAAAGCAAGGACCTATCCCTGAACAAATATGCAGTGTAAGGAAGTGGAGATGGATTTGGATTGGGCATACACTGAGAAGGCGGACTGTGGACATGACGCGCGAGGCTAGGTGCTCGAGTGGAACTCAGATGGGAAACGACTAGTTGGTTGTCCGAGGCCAGGGTGACATGGATGAGGTCTTGTGAGGAGGAAATGAGAGTTTGTGGACTGTTGTGGAGCGAGTTTGAGAATATTTGAGAGAAGAGAGTGTAATGGAGACGTTCTACTGAAGCCGTATGTTTCATTAGGAACTGAAGGGACTAATAATAATAATATAATAATTCCAGGGTTTCATAAAAGCTTTCGAAATGAGAAGACACTGATCATCTAACTAGACGTCTCTCATAACATCTCATCTTAGCTGTTCAATTATACAATCGTTCAAATATGTCATGCATAGTGCTAACAAGGGTCAAAAGGTAAATATTATTTACTAGCAAAACAAATGGAACTGTGAGTCGGAAGATACCAAGAGCACCATATACGATGTTGTATGTCACTCTTACGCAACAAAATGTGCAGAGTTTAAATAATGAATGGAGCTAAGAACTGATTGTTGTTTTTCTTTTCTCTCAAGATGGAGTAAGCATAACAAGAGCACTATACGCGAAATGGTGAGTAGGATTTCAGTCAATAAATTCTGGTAGTAACAAATGGAGTGTAAGTAGGTTGGAGGGAAAATAATTCAACAGAAATGAGAAGGTTGTGCAACTAACGTCATGGTAGCAGAAGCTGAAGTTGAACAAAACGCCTAAGTACACACAGTTCAGGATTCTCTTTGTGAGTAGTTGAATTTTCTGCAGTACAAAGAAGATGTAGTCGAAACTCCTTTGAACGGCTATGTCCCACTCTATGTATAACATTGAATGAGTTATGTGGATATGCTGTATGACCTGACAGAGTGACATGCTTCAAAACAGAACTGTTTATCAATCTGGATTGTATTTTCGCTAACCATGCTGGTGAATGTTCTTGAGTGTGTGATGATAGTGACCTATTTGTATGGCTTATGTACTTAGTCTCATATCACCAAGGGGATTTATGCGTACATATTGATGCTGCCAAAAAAAGGACCAGATCTTAGACTTTTTAAATAACGAGCGATTGTTTAGGTAAACTTAGGTGCATGGATCCAATAATGAAAGTTCTTCGAACTGCTTTTGACAAAGGGAAGCTTATGGAAATTGACTCACTGTATTGCCCTTGAATTTCAGATTGATACAATGATGCTTTTTGAGTCCTGTTCAGTTGCACCAAACATCAGCCCTTCTTCTGATGGGTTTGTAGCGAATCAGGCTTGTCATACAACCTGAATCAGAGATCTTTCCAACAATGCTGATTTCTTAACCAATTTATCTAGTGTGGAAATGTGACAGATTCTTGTAGTAATGAGATTCTTTTTTCCGCTCATAGGAGAAATAGCTGTAAATCTCGAACAACTGCTGGTTCCATTTGGGCTAATGATAAATTGATCTTTGAAGTGATCCATCACTTCTCCCTGACAGTAGGACATCGAGGAAGACAAACTCATATTCCGACTGAACTTCAAACGTGAAACTGGTCGATGGATGATCATTATTGAAGATCTCGAGAATTTAACTACACACAGTTGTTTCATCGCTAACAGTGAAAATATCACTCGTATTTTGCTAATGCACCTTGAAATGATGGATATCTGACTGCGAGCTATTTGACTTCGAATTAGCCATGGACCAGCTGGCAAGTAGGAGACCAAGTGTAGTTCCCATTTCTGCTTCATCTTTCTGTCCACATATTCCTCCACTGAGTAAAAGCTGTGCATTTAATGTATACCTCGAGATTGACTCTTGAATATCCCTAGTAGTTATACAGACATTCAAAATTATAAAGTTACTAAAATAACACAAGAAGCAAACCTTCTCCTTGAGAGGAACATTGGTTAATGCAGATGCATCATACAGGTAAGTCATCCTACCATCCTGACAGATACGTTTACATCGTTCGCCGTATCGATAATTTCGAAGTCATTTTTCATAGAGTGTTTTTCTATCATTCTTTAGACTTGTTTCATGTTTTCTGAAAACCTACGTGCCACAGGATGATATAGGGAATCAGAAATATCCACAATGGACCCACAGGCAACCGCGTTGTACAGATTTTTGGTAGAAAATAAAGACGTAGAATTTTTGATGCATTAGGTTGTATTCTTTCAAAGGCCTCAATGGTCATTTTTGAAACCTGTTTCATTTTAAATAAAAAGTCGATTACTTGTCTTTCTATTTGTGCAGTTTTGCATCTCACTTCAGCTGGCTATGTGAACTTACTGTCATCATTGTGAATTTTCAATATTCATTCTATACAGGTCGAATTGCTCAATATGATAGTTCCAATACACTTCTCTGGACTTGTGATGACAAATTCTTTGTCACCAATCATATCTCTTAATTCTGTGAAAAGCTGTTTGGTTGGGACCGTACAGTTAAACTCTTCAACGGCTGATCTACAAAATCTTCTACTTCTCGTTTTTACACACTGTCTGGTCCCTTTCATTTTCTGAGAAACAAAACAGTGCTAAACATTCAAGGATTTTAGTTTACATACAGCCTAGAAGACTAACTATGAATTGTTATTCAACTTGGAAATCTTATATTCCTTTATCATCACACCACCCTGAGGGAAATTTATTTGGAAGAATTCTTCTGGATAACGTTTTAATTATTGACTTTGATAAGTGGGACTACCTATTTCACTTGGTTCAGAGGTAGCCAGGAATTCTGTCAGTGACTCAAATGTTACTAGTGTTTTACTCCTGTATCGATTACAATAAGCGTTGAAATATGTGCCTGAAATTTTTTCGCTCATCAGTCTGAAAACAAGTAGGCTGTTGAGTATATTTTGACTTCACCTATAGATTAACGCGAATGTTTGTTAGAATCAAAATTCAAATGCTTTGGAAAGCGTGTTAAGATGATTGTTAGACAATTTGATTTATAAAAGTACTTACTGGTTACATGAAAAGTATGAGCATTTCATCAGAAAAGACTGTTTCAAGAAAATATGTGTTATTTTTATATTACGAGATGATAAGTGGTGATAAAAAGCGAAACTTTATCCACTTCACTCAGTTTATCTAGTGTTCAATGGGTTTTGCGTTCTAAATGCTGATCCGAATGGTCCAGGGAAAGGTTGCCAATATGGATTATATGGGTTCCATCTGCACCAGATACGACCATAAATATCTGTCCTACATATTCGACTATAGTAGTACCAGAAATACCAAGAAGACCAGAATGGAAATGGATCAAAATTGCCAAAATTTGTCTGAAGGGCTTGTTTATGGAAAATACATTGAGAAAAAAGAGAAGTATGTCAAAAACCATGTGAAGTATGAAAAGAATAAATTATGTTAGAAGTGATGAGACCTGAATGTGGAACATGAAACTCTTGAGCATTTAAAACTTCAATTTATTATAAATTCAGTTCAGTTTCAATCCCTTTTCATTCATGAATTTCCCTCTGTAAATTCGAAACCTGACTAGTCAATGAATTCTTCTATAAATAGACTAAAAGTTTGAGTGACAGGTAAAGTGTAAACCAGAATTTTTGTGAAGTACCTTAATGTATTAATAAACAACAGCTATGACTAATAAACTGCATATTTATGACTCATGATATGTTTCTTACCTTCAGTTCCACTCTACAGAAAGTGGGTCAACAAAATAAACATCAGAGCAGTATGTAAAGTGAACTACGCTTGAAAATGTCAAAAATGTATTAATTCATGAAGTAAGGTTAAAGACAAGATAAACAACAAAAGATAATACAACAGAGAAGCAGTTAAGGAGAAGGATAGAAGTGTCTTCGTTCCTTCTTTCTCTTGTATTCGTGTCGAATGGAATACAGTGTGAATTCTCATAAGTCACATTACTCAAAAATAGTTATTAGCATGAGGCCGGTAATACATGTGACGATGAAAGGCTAACAAAACCGAGTATGTTAGTTATCCAGGGGAAGAATTAACGTTATGAGCAAACTCATCATTTCTGGATGTTTAACTGGAACACATTACATGTATCCATAATTGTCTAAGAATATAACAATGTTAATCTGATATTGCAATGATTAGAGATGCTACATTATTTGAGAAATCACAAACAACGAAATCTTACATCGAAAGTATCAACATATATGTTACGCTTAAGAGAAACACTAATCTACTGAAGAAGTTTCCAATGCATTACGGCGACAGCGACTTCCAATTTTGAGAAATAATTGAAGAGCTTCGCTTTACCGGTGATTTCATGAACAAGTTTCGATAACAGAATTTTACTTATTCTTGTAATCTATTTCAATGTCAAAGAAACTGTGACATTTCGCAGTGATAGGCTTATATTCAGTGTACACCGCTACCAGTGTCTACTCACATCCGTTTCCGACTGATAACAAAGTAATATCATTCTGGAGTGTACTTCTAATATATGTCAACTTTAAGTATTGGAATGTTCTTGAAAACTGGACAGTAATTTCTATTTTGTAAATAATTTATCCATTAAATATAATTAATGTCTCTCTGTCAATTAACCGGCTGTTACATCAATTTCCTTTTCAAACATCAGAACTAGTGGTAGGCGAAAGCAATAAGTTGTTTTGTTTATATTTTCCTGAAACATTGTGTACAATTACAAGAGATTTAGTACTTATTCTATAATCAGGTATTCATTTAGTCGACCGGAGATGAAGTGATATCGTTTGCCTTGATGTGAACCTCTGCATTCAGTTTCCAGTGTATGCTAAACCTTAATATTTGTGCGAAAGTGAAAGGACTATTTTTAAAAATGTCAACTTTGTCTATGTATTCACGATTAATATGGATTGAGCAGACACTTGTTAATCAAATAAGAGAAAGTATACTTATGTATATATTGATAGACACATAAGAAAACTATCCAAATATCATCACCACTTACTATGTCTCTAAGCCATCAGAATGTTCTTGGTTACAATTACATGGATATTAAACAAGTGGCACAAAATCTGAGTGATTTCATCCCATCAAATTATAATATGACGTATGTGTTCATCAGCACTTGATATGAAGTTGGTGTAATATTATCAGATTTGAAGGTGTCCAGCCGTCAGTTGTCCGAATCCTTGAGTGGATATAAGTTACTGTTTCTAATTATTAACATTTGTTTCCTATTTTGTGGTTCCATTAGTCACTTTCAACGGTCTTACATTTCATAATGCCTTTTAAGAATAAGTTATATTTTGTTCACTAACATTGATTTGTCAACTTTACTTCTTTCAATAATCAATAGCTCTTCGACAGATTGACCTTGTCTACCGTGATTATATCACCTTTTCAATGAGAAATCCGTCCGGTTCTCAATTCACTGAACTACCCTCCTTGTCTAACTTGTTTCATTTAATTTATTAGGTATGTCTGAATCTTTTGTTGGCTATCGGTAATGATCTTCATCCATTGTAGTCTGGTGACGCACATTTCATTCATCTAAAACAACTGGTTTTGCTATCTGATGTTCTTACACATGATTTACCCAAATCTAGTCTCAGTTGCAATTACATCTACATTTTTTCTGTCAAGTGGACTCAAGTTCACTTCATTGTTCACGTATAGGAGAAGAAAACACTTGAGTATCTGATATTTCGTGGTTTTTAATGTTTATTAATAGCTTTTGGAAAGAATAATCAACAAGAAACTCTGGCAACAAACTAACCAAGAATCTATCACCCAACAAATATGCTGAGGGAAGTGGAGATGCATTCGGCATACACTGAGAAGGCCGACTGGGGACATCACATGCCAGGTCAGGCCCTCGAGTGGAACCCAGATGGGAAACGACGAGTTGGGGGTCCTAGGCGAGGGTGACTTTGAGATCATGCGATGAGGAAATGATAGGTTGTGGACTGTTGTGGAGCCAGGTTGAAAAGATTTACGACAACAGAGTGTAATGGAGACGTGCTACTGAAGCCGTATGTTCCATTAGGAACCCAAGGGACAAATAATAACAATAATAGCTTGTGGGTATGACAACACATGCTGTCAGTCTCTTACTCATATATGTCTGAAGCTGAATTCGTTATACATGAGATATAATGGACATTTTAGTTATCTCCTTCCTGTATATCTTATGTGACTATGTTATCGTATTCCAATACTTATTATAACCAATAATACTGAGAATCTTCAGATATTCACTGTTTGTTAGTAGTTTAAAAATGACACCTTAAATTTCTTCACTTTACTACTGTAATTAATGGACAAAACTTCATCGATATCATCTCCATCAAGTGCAGGCGGCAGCTGAAGTGGAATATCCAACTAACGAAAATTTAAACAGTCATTTTCACCACTGTATTGAAGACTACTTCAGAAACTAAACATAAAGATTAACAGTCTTCACATTCAACAAATAGGCACAACATGTGAATTTGTGAGTGATGATAAATTGAGAGAATATCCTAATAATGCATATTGAAAACATTTGGTGATTGGAAAAATCTTATCATTTTCTGTGTTGAATATTCAGTTAACTTTACAGAATATCATTTCTTAAGCGTTTTCACAATTCATGGATTGGCCTACTTCACATTGCTGTATATTTTAATATTCCTAGAAATTGGCTCATAAGAATCATTTCCATCTCCTTTTAAATGCATAGATATTCACTTATGCAGCCATCAGAAACAGTATCCACGTGAAGTAAACTTTCATTCTACTTCCTATCATCGAAATACATTTCGTGTGGGTAAATAATTTGAACAATTAAAAAGATATCAACTAGCTGGGTGTGAAAAGTCACTTTCAAAGTGAAATCATTAATGATGTCAGTAGTTATGCCTCATTTTTTATAATTCATTTGTTCACTGTAATAAATATATCCCATCAACTACTTGAACAATGAGTTACATTCATTGTATAATACGACATTTTTGTGACTAGCTAATTAATTTTATCTAGCCGTAGCGGTTGAACCAATAAGGACTTAATTAGAATATTATACATGGAAACTTCTTGTCAATACATTTACATTTAAACAACCAATAACATTCGAAAGGAAATGTTTTCAGTGCCCCCTGTTACTCAGTATCAGCAACAGAGACAGCTGATAAAATCTTAAGCTTGAAAGTCTTAAATGATGGAAAGTGTTAAATTGCACGAATACATCTTAACTTACGGTATTGACATTCCACTGAGTTCAAGAGGAGTAAAAGTACCACAGATATGCAGAATCTGAAATTCATTCAACAAATCAATCAGTCTTCATATTAACAAGTTGAGTGAAAAGTTAACAACGAGATTCCTCTTCAGTAGAAAAAATTTACTATAAATCAATTCTACTCATAAACTCACTTCATGTTTACCGAAGGATAATAATCAGTGAAAGTTTGTCATGAGTCTAATGATTGTATGTGGTCTTAATATATAGCCATAATGCATCACATTGTTCACTTAGATAACATGTGGCCTATACATTCACGAACAAAACTGATGTTGTGTCCTCTACTTCGTTATGTAAGAAAAATCCCTTGAACAGCATATGATATGAATGTGAATTTGTCGGTCACTGAATATAGGTCAAAGTTCTGTTTCTATCACACTGTCACGTTGATAAACTTATGGTATTTTTAGCAAGGATATACACTGCAATCCTAACATACTTCATTATTATTATTACAGCTGAATTAAACAGTTTGCAGTTTCTGAAGTCCTGCTAACTTCTGAGTTTGCTGATCGAATCAGACCAAGAGATTTAAATATTCCTGGGCTATATGATCATGATGAAGTATACAAGGATGATACACCATCGAGACCAATTTTAAGTGTCCTGAAATTCACCATTCCAGTCACAACATATTGCTGAAATAATGTGGGCGAATGCATAAATAATGGGGTAAATGGCGTTAATATTGGGATCGATGCGTAAAGGGTAGGAATTGTGTCCCAAACGTTTTCCCGCACCGATGAAGTAATGCGGATAATGCTGTAATAGTGCTGTGAGTGGTGAACTAATGCAGTGAGTGCTGAAATAAGGCGGGTAGTGGGGAAATAAGGTGGATAAATTATTTGAGGTGTGTAGCGCAGTTCACCGCATTGCGTAAGGAACTGGAAATTCTTAATTTTTTAAAGTTATCATTAATTTTAGGCGTATGAATTGAAAATAAATTAAAATACTTCGACAAAACAATAAGAAGACGTAAATTGTCTGAACCGTGTAATGTATTTGCGCAACACATTTCGAATTATCTGATCACACACGTACTTGTCATAGGTATTTATATTAAAAACTCATGAAGATAAGGGGTGAGAAAAAATAAAAAGGGGTCAGGTAGGAAGGCTGACTTAAAGGCCGAATAACAATGAAAATCAATAGAGCGAAAAAATAATAGCACATCGAACTTGGTTTTTCAATAGTTAAATTTACCAAGGAAGGTTTAATGTGACAACAAATTGTTTATGAACACATAAAGGTGGTTTAAACTTCCTAGTAGCTAAGGCTTCAACAAATTTCAGGATCCCTCCCCAACATGTTTTGTAAATAGGTGTAAAGGAAGTAGCCACATCAATCTTGTGACCTGTCTCAACGATATGTTTGGCAATCGAAGAACTTGGACGTCTGCTGCCAACATTGTTGTTTGTTGGAAAATAACTATCCATCAACATTTATCAGGCAGAACAAAATTAGCAGAGCGTCAAAACTAGAACTGCAGTCAGTCCCAAAGAAGGATGTCTTTATCAGCCTTCCGTACAAAGGTGACTCTTAGAGTGCAATCCTTAAGCAGAGACTTAACGCTGCTGTTAGAAGGACTTACTATGCAGCCAGGGTTCGAGTAATCGAAACCACGAAGCCCGTATATTCCCCCAAACCCCCACAGCATGTGAACGATAATGTCACATCTCATTGTATCTACCAATTCAAATGTACATGTGGTGACACATACATAGGGAGGACTAATAGATCCATGCAAGTAAGGGCCTCGGAACATATTCCAAAGTGGCTTCAGAAGCAAATTAAATCACCTGAACCCATAAATGTTGGTAGCAGACGTCCAAGTTCTTCGATTGCCAAACATATCGTTGAGACAGGTCACAAGATTGATGTGGCTACTTCCTTTACACCTATTTACAAAACATGTTGGGGAGGGATCCTGAAATTTGTTGAAGCCTTAGCTACTAGGAAGTTTAAACCACCTTTATGTGTTCATAAACAATTTGTTGTCACATTAAACCTTCCTTGGTAAATTTAACTATTGAAAAACCAAGTTCGATGTGCTATTATTTTTTCGCTCTATTGATTTTCATTGTTATTCGGCCTTTAAGTCAGCCTTCCTACCTGACCCCTTTTTATTTTTTCTCACCCCTTATCTTCATGAGTTTTTAATATAAATACCTATGACAAGTACGTGTGTGATCAGATAATTCGAAATGTGTTGCGCAAATACATTACACGGTTCAGACAATTTACGTCTTCTTATTGTTTTGTCGAAATTAAAATACAATAAATGTCGACCTACTACAATTCCCCGATTGTTTAACTGCGGAGAGAGAAATGGTCGCCATCACTTTAGGGCGGACACCATGGAGGTAGGTTGCTGTTTTGTTCCCTATTGACGGTTCTGCATCCTCAAGCATTCTAATGTTACTGATAACAATGTTTTATCTAAGACATCGACAACGTCTCTTAAAAGAAGAATGGTCCCGTCTGGTAGAATGCCTTTACCAGTAAACTGTCACCGCTGAACTTTTTATCAACGTCGTAAAAGGCTACTTGACTCCATTTGAGCTTAGTTTCGTGTACCAAACTTAAGCACTGTGGCAGTAGCAGTTGGTAAATATACTATAGCTTAATTAATATATACTAGAAGCATCAGCGTATGCTCCTGACCATGTGGCCGCGTCATGTTCAATTGTGGGACTTGAAATGGCCTCTAATGAAGCCGATAAAGACAGCTTAATAGTACCAACCACAGAGCCTGAGCATGTCTGGCAAACAGTCATTAAAATGCTGCTCAACCTTAATATGAGTGTTTCTGCTGCAGATAGAATGCTGGTCTATCTGAATTGGATTTGCCCTCACGTCCCAACTAGTGTCCGAGGATTGATGAGAGGGAGTAGTAAACTGCGGTTTCTTGAACAAAGGGTTCATTACCACAAAGGTTTAAAATGTAATTTACTACATCTCCTGGTAAGATGGAATGAATGTCAGTCGACAACTGATGTTAAAATACAACTTAACTACAATGGGTTGTCCATAGGTAAGGGTTCCAGTCAGCAACTGTGGCCATTCAATGGTAAAATCCCTAAACCTCGTATAATCGAAGTATTCGTAGTAGATGTGTATGGGGGTTTTTAAAAACCCGTAGAATTCACCGAAATGGCACATGATTTAGTAAATATTTTCTATATATATACCCATATTATTTCATAAGTGACCTTTCGAGAATACCCGCATTATTTCAGCACGGACCGCATTTTTGTTGAGGTGATATATATATATATATATATATATATATATATATATATATATATATATATATATATTGCGGATAGTGCAGAAATAAGGGTACAAATGTGCGTAAATAAAGCTGCATTTACTCATGCACGCTTAAATTATTCTACAAGTGCCTAAATTATGCGGGTAGTCCGTAAAAATTCGCTTAATTGTCACATTTCAGCATTCCTGATCAATTCATTGACCCGCATTATATCAGGATTCGTGTTTGACTGGGATATCATGTGGTAGTAGAATTTTATGCCTAGTTACTAGGATCAGTGAGAAAGATTTTATGCAAACACAGGTTAAAAGATGTTTTTAGGCTTGCTGACGCTGTAAAGCATAATTAATCACACGATTTTGGAGTAAATTTTCATCACTATGAACTCCATGTTCGTTTGTTACATCTTTTTAACAATGGGCTTTAACGACAGGCAGATGGAGAAGTAATTGGTTTCCCACTTGGAGCTATACTTGCTGACCTTTTTTTTATTTGAAAGTTAGGAAACGATATACTGAAACCATTCGTAAACTCTGTTAATGAGTAGTGCAAATTTGTGAATGACACTTACGTTTTCCGCAATGATAAAACACCAATGTTTATAACTGAGTCATGAATTTTCAAAGAACATGTTCGAAAACAATTTTTTGATAGATGTTAGTTGGATGGAGGCAATCGGCAGGAAGCCTTAGACTTAGGTTTCGCAATTATTGGTACTCGTCGGCAAAACGTGACTGGAACATCTGTGAGAGGATGATGCTACGCCTGGGATACGAATTCGCGTCTCCCAGAGCCGCAGTCACAGACGTTACCACTGAACTATTCGAGCTACGAACGATCTCCTGTAGGAATGCAATATATACATTGGCTGGTCAGTGGAGCGTAACCAACTTCATGTTGTCCAGTGCTGATCGGATTCTATCAATCATATTTCAATGTGACCACTAAATGAGGTGGGTCAGCATCACGATGCACTTGATAGATGTTAGTTGGATGAAGACAGTTATAAGGAAGCACTAGACCTAAGCTTCTTGCTGACTGACGCTGGTCAGAGATGTCTCTGACTGCGGCACTGGGTGAAGTGGGTTCGAACCTCAATTACGCCTTTCTGACGAGTGCCAATAATTACTAAATCTAGGTCCAGTGCTTCGTGTCGATTACCTTCATCCAACTAAGATCTATCAAAGTGAATCGTGATGTTGAGCAGCCTATTCTGGTGGCCAACTTGCAAAATGAAGGACGTCATTCAATCAGAACTAGGCAATATGAAGTTAGTTACCCTCCAGTAAACAATCAATATAGAAAAATATTTCCCAAATGTTTGGGAAATTTAATAAGATTTTTTAATTTGATATCCTCCTAACCAGATTTGACGAAGGAGAAATGACTCGAACTAGGCTTCAAAACAAGTCTTACTTTCACAGGTTTATGTCTCTATGACGAATGAAAAAGAAGCCAGTCACCTACATATCTGAGTTTTCTGACTAAGCAAGGTTATTTAGTTGAAACCCTCACAAATAGATACCAGCTATCGTTAAAGAAGGAATTCTTAGCAGCCACTATGGGAGTAATTTTCAAAACCAGTTGCAACTCACGAACAAAAGATAGGGTTCTTCATATACTAGGATCGGTATGTATCGATAAATACGAAATGCTCTTTCGAGGTTCACTCTCTTGGATGCACTATGAGAGTTCTATCAAAACGTCCTAAAGATCATTTATTGGTGTAGTTGATAGTGAATACAGCAAATAAGACTACTAGCTACATTTAGTCATACTTGATTAATACTGATTTTCCTGCTGATATTAAATAAACCTTTCATGTAATTCATCATCTACCAAAAGCGATACAAATTCGTCTC